AGTTCATCTTGTAATGGAATACTGAAGATGATAGCCCAACAAGTTGGTTGGTACGCCCAAAACACATATCCGAATTATTCCCAGTATTTTATCAGTAGACTAATCGTCCCTATAGCTGTAGTCATAATCTAGTTTTATGATGTGATATACGTGAATGTCCCAGGCAAGGCCACATGGTTTCCTTGTTCTTCAATCTCATTACCCCGACTTCAACCCCGCAGATGCCGTCCCAATCGAGACAGACCCCCGAATCCTCCAATAATCGCTTCTCGTCTGATATTGCCCACAAGGCCTGTGCCGATGCAGTACCCCACACTTTACCCTTGCAACAAACCCCAGGTCTCATGGTTTGACGTCAGGGACTGTGGGGTATCGTCCTCCACCCCGGCTCCTCATTCAAACTCCACTGCCGCAACATATTTTCCGCAGAGCGTGATGCTGCTATTGGGAACAGACAATGCGCATGGACATTAAATATAGCCAGAGTGTATCATTTGAAAGCTTGGGAGAAGCAGTTTACCCGAAGAACTGCCGTCCCTCAGTTCCGGCAGGAATGGCGACAGGAGTATTTAAAGCGCAGGAGGCATACGAGCATGATGCAGTACGGTCACTGTGTCAGGCATCGAGAGCTTTCTTTGATGAAAATGACTGATCTTCTCACCTTAATGGTGCTTTTTGGTGTAGCTGGCAGCAGCCAGCTCGCTTTCGCATCGCCTGTCACGCAGAAAGCCGGAGCGACAAGAGCAACTTCATACTCCTACAGCTCCTTTACCTATACGCAGGTCACTTCAACTCGCTATGCTACTTCACTGAGTTCCCCGCTGTCTTTTGCTACACCATTCGCCCCAGCATTTAGTGAAGCGTCAACTCTGCTTCCTGACAACGTGACCTATACCACATACTCTTTGCAGTCGAGTCAAAATCCCTCGGCAGACGGACAGTATGGCCAGAGTGCGTATGCTGCATTGTGGGCCAACCTGTCGTATACGTCGGCGCCCCCAATCACAACTACCGTCTCCCCTACTCCGGTTCCCTCCAGCGAACTGGTGTACCCTCCTACTCTGTACAACAGGATTGACTATGCGGATCTGAAGCTCCCATCCGACTTCATCTGGGGCGTCGCAGCCAGCGCATGGCAGATCGAAGGAGGCCTGAAGCTCGAAGGCCGCGGCCCATCTATTCTAGACACCATCGGTGCTATTCAGAGTGATGACAACTCGTCCGATGCCAACATTGCCGACCTAGGCTACTACATGTACAAACAGGACATTGCCCGACTAGCTGCTATCGGCATCCCTTATCTCTCGTTCAGCATCTCTTGGTCACGAATCGTCCCCTTCGGCGTCGCCGGCTCTCCCATCAACACCGAAGGGCTCCAACACTACGACGACGTGATCAACACCTGCCTCGAATACGGCATCACCCCCATTGTAACCCTAAACCACTTCGACTTCCCGACAGCCCAAGCTACCGACTACTCCACCCTTACAGACAATTTCCTCTACTACGCGAAACAAGTCATGACCCGATACGCCGACCGGGTCCCATACTGGGTGACGTTCAACGAGCCGAACATCGGCATTGGCAATGCCTTCAGCTCTTACAACGACCTCACCCACGTCCTAACCGCCCACGCAGCCGTCTACCACTGGTACAAGGAAGAGCTGCAAGGTACCGGCCAAATCACCATAAAATTCGCCAACAACCTCGGCGTTCCCCAAGACCCGTCCAACAGCAGCCACGTCGACGCCGCCCTCCGATACCAAGACTTCATCCTGGGTATCATGGCCAACCCATTATTCCTCGGCGAACAGTACCCATCCTCTGTCCTCAACACGCCTAACCTGAACCTCACACCACTGACCGACTCCCAAATCTCCACCATAAACAACACCATCGACTTCTGGGCCTTCGACCCCTACGTCGCGCAATTCGCCCTCCCGCCTCCAGAAGGGATCTCCGCCTGCGCAGCCAACTCCTCCAACTCCGCCTGGCCCGAATGCGCCAGCCTAACCATGATCCAATCCGACGGATGGCTCATGGGCGATATGTCAAACGATTACTCCTCCATAGCACCACAATACGTCCGCCAACAACTAGGCTACGTCTGGAACACATTTAAGCCGTCGGGAATAGTAATCTCAGAATTCGGCTTCAACCCATTCGACGACTCATTAAAAGAGGGCAACGCGCAGCGGTATGATCTCGAGCGCACGCTATATTACCAGGACTTCTTAGGGGAGATGCTGAAAGCGATCCACGAAGATGGAGTGAATGTGATTGGGGCATTAGCGTGGAGTTACCTGGACAATAATGAATTTGGGAGTTATGCGAACCAGTATGGGATGCAGAGTGTGAATCGTACAGATGGGACGTGGGAGAGGAGGTACAAGAGGAGTATTTTTGATTATGTGGATTTTTTTCATGAGCATGTTAGCAGGTAGATGTTGACTAACATACATGAGTTGATTGAATGTTAGGGAGGTGTATAACGCAGTGTCAAGTACTAGAGACAGGGTTACCTCAATCATCTTAAAATACATACTGTAGCCGTCATGTTCACCACTTTGCTACATTGATGATACTGCCATGCACATGTCCCCTCAACCTTCTTAGTACAATGGAATAAACCTAGTAGTAGCACACCTTCCTACACAACATATCCAACTCAACCTATACAATACTTAGTATCTCACTCTACATGATTCCCCCGACTAAGAATACCCCACAAGTATTACTACTACCACCACCAACGCCTAATACACCCCTCTACTCCATATATCCATATCATCTAAATATATCCCACTACCACCCCCAAAGATATCCAACAACTACAGAGTAAAAACAGCTGCCTAACCACACCCTCACCATCACAGCCTAAGGCGCCCCCTGTCCCCCTCCCATCCAATAACAACACTAACACAATCCCGAAACCCATCACATCTTGGCATACAGCTCCCTCCGCTTGGCACGTCACAGCATCATCCAATAATCCTTCACGGATCAGAGTATCTTCATCCCGTGTGGTTATTTTTGGTATATCTGGATGAAGCTTCCTCCTTCTTCAGTCTTCTTTTGGAAGGGGGAAATATTGAGTTGAGCTGTGGATGGATGGGCCTTGCAGGATGCCGAGGGCGGTTATCTTTCCAAGACTTTTTCCAAGTCTGTCTTTATTTAGGTTGGTAGGGATGGGTGTGTGGAACGGGATGGAGATGGAGGGGAGGGGGTATAAAGTATGGTGGCAGGTCTTCAGGTTTATGATTCCTTCTTTTCCCTTCTACTTCTCAGAGATATAGACGGTTCTGCTCCCTTGGGTGGTGTGTACTCTTCAATTCATTTGTTCGAACTACAATTCGTTCATTTTTTCCTTCTTTATGAAATCAATGTTTCTTGTTTGATTGTTTCACAACTTGAATTCGCTTCTCTCATTATTCATATTCATACTCGATAGAGATTATGTGCACCAGCAATGCGGGGGTATATGCCTCATTATGCACATCAAAACAGAACAACAATGACATGACAGGAACAACAACAAAGACATGGTTCATATCCACCGTTTCACCAACTCTGGCATTACTTCTTCATCATTTCAATACGCTACCGATACGTACTGCGCATCACAGCTTCAACTCCCCCGGATACTCCTGCGACGGACTCTTCCCCTTATCCTCCGACACATTCATCATCACCTTCTTAGAGTACCCCACCTCATGAGTGCGACCATCAGTATCTACGACCTGGAACCCCGAGCCGTACTGCGTGATCTGCTGCGGCTGCGAGTACATCTCCGGCGGTGGGTACTCGCTCCACGGATTCTCCGCCGCCATGGCCTTCCACTGGCGCAACTCCTCGTCCTCGCGCTCTTGGCGCCGCCACCAGCTGATGCCGAGTACACAGCCGATAGTCAAGATGAAAAGCAGAATCACGAAACCCATGAGCGGCAGGCCGATCAGTGTTGCCAATTTATAGTTCACCCCGCCTCCGCTGGGCGTGTCCAGCAGGTCGCTACTATAGGTAGGTAATTGTTCCTGGGCAAAGATCAACGACGGGCTGATCGGAAAGGCTGTTTGGGACGGAACGGGAAAGTGGCAGTCATAGCGGAGGGCTTCGATGACTATTGACCTTAGAGTTAGTCAAACTCGCGCAGAATAGGCTGGGAGACTCACAATTGGCCATGAGCACTTGTGTTTCGGTCAGATTGTAGCAGAACTCGCAGGTTTCGATCTGATTATCGGCAAACGTGGAGGTAGAGCACCAGGCGCGAAGATTGATATCGTTCGGAGTGAGCAAGTCGAACTCGATCGCGCTGTCAAGACCTTGGCAGGAAACCAAGCACTGCGACGAGACGCTGTCGACGCCCGCTGGATAACCGTAGACACAGGCGCTGAACGCATAGCGGAGGTTATCTAACCACATTAACAACAGCTTTTAGATAGCACATAAAGCAGGCTTACACAATCCCCAGTCCACGTCCGTCACCAACCCACTGGGGTCAGTGTAGGTACTGTTGAGCGCACACGAGACGCAATCTTTGAAGTTCTTGCCAGTCGTGGTGTCGTTGTAGGCCGCGTCCATGCAGACAATCTCCGAGGTGGTGGTGTTGGTGGGGTCGTTACAAACATCCCAGCATGGGGAGCCTTCGCTCACGTACAACGCTGTCGCGGGGGGTGCAACGTGGCCGACGAGCAGAAAGGACGCCGCTGCGGCAGCCGCTGCCCATCTCGATGTAGATCTGGGGCTTAGACCCCAAGAGCCGAGCATCTTGGTATTTGCTTTGGTTAGATCGAGCGTCGGAGACGGCACGATAACCTCCCAATGCTACCGTTTTATCTTACGACCAAACGAGGGAAGGCTGGAGACAGTGCGGTCGACAGAACCCGCGCCGAGAGCACCGCGCAGCAAGGGACAGAGAGGGAGCACAACCGGGAATGACACGATGGGGAAAGCGAGGGTAGAAATGTGAAGGTGAACCGGTCCCAACCCAGATAGATCGTCGGTTAAACGGCAGGATCGGTGCCACGGTGGATTGATAAAGCAGAGGGCCGAGGAGGGGAGACACCATTCCGTCCCGGATTGGCAGACATGCCTGCCTCTTGGATGGGGTGAGGAAGATCCAACGAGCTCAGTGAGGAGCAGTAGCCCGGGCGCTTCGAGGGCCTCTCAGAAGCAGCGAAAGCGGGTTGTCTCTGAGGGAGGTGTGACGGTGATTGTGACGGCCAGTGCAGCAACTCCTGCCGCTGCCAGGATGCACGTTCATTGGCGGCTAGTGGCATGTAGCTGCGGGCAAGCTGTGGATGTGATGCGCCGTGATGGCCGCAGATTGGCGGCGAGCTCTGACCTGCTCGCGGGGTTCGGCGCTTACTCGCGCCTCCGCATTGGCCCAGGGTGACTGGCTGCTTGCCCATCACATCCGCTACCACTAATTAGTACCCCTGCTCATTTTGGATCATTGCTGTCCAATGAATCCATCAACCCCTCCTGTGTTGATCGCCCTAACTTAATGGGCGCTTCGAGAGGAGTTGTGCTGCCGCTGTTGGGACGTAGACACACTAATCCATAGATTGGGGTCAAGATGACCGTCGCTGTCACCTACGGCGACACGCCAACATACTAGCTGGAATAGTTATCACGCCATGAACGGATTTCCAACAATTTAATCGCCCCCAAAAAGGTAATGAGAAAAGTCCACACGAATGAGCCAAAGCATAAACAAGAGAAACAAGGAAAACGCCTCCCGAAAGGAATGAGACGCCACAATGCATGCAGGTTAAATCTTTTGCCCTCTCACGGCTGAATTAAGAATCCCATCCACCCAAACGAAGTAGGCCAGTCCGGCGTAGCTCGGCCGTGACTGCCATCCCCAAAATGAAGCAAGCATGCACGCAAGTGATATACGCAAAATTAAAGAATCAAACAGAAAGCCTCCCATGGGTCCTGCCCCAGATTCCGGTAGTTACCCGTACAATTCATCATACGACGGTACCATTTCAGGTTGTGTCGGTAAACTCAGCGGCTCTGGCTTGGGGCGCCGTACCGATTTTCGATCATGTTGCGTAGACAGACGGTGTCCCTGCGGTCGCTGGTCGTCCGACGGATTCGAGGGCACCGAAGAGCTGTAGCTGGTATGCTTCGAACCGGCCGTTCCAGGTGCTGACATCGGAGGGTCTATCGTGTGTCTCTGAGCGCTGTGTCGGCTACGCATGCGAGATGTTACCGACAAAGGAGGCGATTTGGATGCTTGCGAATAGGCATCAGCTTCTTCCTTCTCGGCTGGATTGTGGTCGCGGGAGACATTTAGAGGAGCGGGCACGGCCACGTCGTCTTCCTCATCTTCAGAGGAGTCGTCTGAACAGGATGCATTGTCGCATTCGCGGGGAGAATCCAGGACTTTCGACACACCGACCGGAGGGCTCTGCTGTTGGTTTTTTCTTCGCATTCGACTAAGTCGTGCATCATAATGGCCGGTAGGAATCGTCATGGCTGAATCCACGGATGGCGCCCGCACATTGGCATCCCCAATGCGGCTGTAACTCCCCAGCCTCGGCGCGGTGGCGGATCGATTGAGTTCTAAGGAGCCATGCCGTCGCTCGTGGTCGGGGGAGGCTGAAGTTGCGCCGGTAGAAGACTGATCCCATTGACTCCAGGACCCACCGTTAGGATAGGTGATGGAGACATCCCCCCATCGCGAGTGCAGCTCTGAGGATAGCTTTCGCTTGCGTCGTAATTTTTGGATGATAGCCGTCATTGTCACAAGAGCGTCCTTCCTTAATGTAGTCGAGCTGGAGCACCCGGGCCCGCGTCAGCATCGACCGCACAGGTCCCTCCAAGAACTCGGAGGAAAAACTAGGTTAAGAAGGATCAAGTCCAACCACGGTACCTTAAAATGTAAGGGCCCGCCGTCTACGGGTTTGATTTAGGTCGGGTGCCTCTGCTTCAGAGGACCCCACGACCCGGTCCCGAGGCTGCCTAGAACAGGAATGTAAGATAGGAACAGGGACCAGACAGCCACCGAAGGACTGGCATGGAAAAGTGTCAAAACGGGAGGGGGGTGAACACCGAACGCTGCAATCCATCGGCCGAAAGCCGGCTGCATATCGCCCACAGGATGGCAGAAGAAAGACCCTTTCAGGGACCAACGCTGAATTCCTTCAGGGAACGTCCCTCAGTGCGAAGAGGGATGGGAATCGGAGCCCAGAGAACGGGACGGACGGTGAAAGGCGAGCAGACACAACCTGACCCGACAGAATGGTTCACCCTCCATCACAGCGGACTTTTTGTCGCCCTGGGTGGGGAGGCCCGTCGGGCGTACGCGGCCAGTGGGAGAAGTCTCAGTCAACCGGAGGGGGATCGCCCTTTGTTTTGTAAGCGGGATGACGATTCCGACGCAATGACTGGTCATGGGAGAGCCTCTAGAGCAGGGAGCAGAGCCGGTCCGCGTGCCTGGAGATGGTAAAAGAGGGGAGAGCAGTCGGGAGAATAGCTGAGCGGCGCAGTCAACTTGCAGGCAACCTGCAGCCAGCCTACCGGAGGGAGCTGCTAACAGACTCCGGGAAGTTGGCGACATCCAACCACAGCCGTAGTTGATAGTCCTCCCTTGGCGTGGTCCATCCAGCGGCTGCGAGAGAGATGGAAGGGGTGTGACACAAAGCAATCCTTGTTCTGGGAGATGAATGGACCTCTCAGCGGCTACAATATGGGCGAGATCCCTGCCGATGTGAGGGAGGGAGCGTGATGAGGAATGCCACTAGTTGTCGTAGTAGCAGTAGTAGCAGCAGCTGGACTCGAATCGACAGCTCGACTGCCGCACCCAACTCCGACGTAGCATTGCTAACCGGGGGGTTGGAGGTCGGAAAATTGATTGGCGCAGAAGCTTCGATGGGAACCAGGGTCTGGACGAGGAGAAGAGGGGAAGCAGCAGCGACAATCACCGGTTGATCGTCGCGGTTGGGCCCGAACCACCCGTCGAGCTTATCTACGCGCCGTGATGGAGACGGCGCGCGAGGGCCAGTGTAGTGGTCACTTGTCACTTGTCACCGTGCAGCAGTCGAGTCCGGCCGATTGTCTAGCTGCAGTAGAGTGAGACATGAGGGGGAAGAAGATAGTGGGAAAGCTGTGGGTTGGAAGAGATGGAAGAGGAGGTGGTGGTAGTGGTGGAGGAAGAAGAAAAGAGGAAGAGGGAGGGGGAGGGAGGGGGTCCCCCAGTGGCTTGCCGCCTTCGGGCTCCTCCACGCTTAATTCTTTGGCAGTCACTCATCAATCTTCCTTGGCTCATCACACCATGCCCGGCACAGTCATTTAGGCGGGAGATATGTAGGTGATGAAGAAACTGATTGTAATTGGGTGGAGCGGGGGTACATCCTGGCTCAGTTCATCCAGGATGAGGGGAGAAGAGAAGGTGACTTGCAATAGAAAAGATACAATAGTAGAAGGGCAGACAGGAAAAGAAAAGACCATAGTAGATACGTACCTGGGGCTTTCATACCATTCTCCATCAATCTCTTCATCCCAAGTCTAGTCTGCAATCATCATCATTGTCGTCGTGATCATCGTCATCATCATTAAAGCCATAACCCAAACACCTTAACACCCAACAGCACCAACCATGACGCCAAACACCCAACATAGAAACATAAGAGAATCACGACTATATCAGCCTACCCAAAGTTCGTCACCAACCGTGACAGCACCGGTCTAGGTCGTTGAACCGACTGACCTTCCTCCGCCTCACCACCCTGCCTGTTGACCGGCACATCCAGCCTCTCCTCAACAGCAAAGCTAAAGGCATTCGAGTCTCTATCCGGCACTCTTCTTTGGGGCTCTATTCCCAATCCCGACATCCGATACATACTAGCCGTGGCCCCAGGGTATGGCACCGCGATACCCACCATGCCATCAACCCCATGGTACCTTGAAGGGTTATACACAGGGAGGGGCTGATACGCCGGTGGGGGATCCTCGATGACCCTCTGCAGAGGAGGATGTTGCTGTTGTTCAAGACATGATGAAGGTACCTGCTGTGCTGTGGAGGTGATCTCAAGTGGGTACTCGGGGGTCTGAGGCTTGCTTCCTTCCAAGTCAGGATGATACTGATAGTACCCAGTGGTGGATTGAGACAAATGATGGGCGAGCAGGCGTTGCTGCTGACGGCGATGACGGCGTTCATTGCTTCGTTTCTTGCATCGGATGAGGAGGATGGCGCTTATGACTTGCAGAACAGAGTGAGATGAGATGGTGTCGAGCCCCAATGTTCATGGCATAGCAAGGAAGGAATGATTGATGGAAGGTGACAACATACTCATGATCACTGCTACTCCTCCAAACACCACGCCAATGATGATCTGATCCCGACCGGACGAAGGAGACTCCACGGACGATGATGAGTCTTGACGAGGATATCCATCACGAGGGAGGATCATCGTGCATACCCCCTTGGTGGGTATGACGGATAGAAGGGGGTGAGTGGTGTGGAGTGGATAGCAGAATGGATGACGACTTTCTTGCTTGCTTCAAGCACCAACACACGCAGCACAACGATGAAACAGCACACCAGAAAACGAAACAAAACAGAATGCAGACCAACCCACCGAGAAGAACCAGAGAACCCTCCGACTTAAAATACTACTTGAACTCACCAGTTAATCCCATCCTGGCGCTTGAAAAGTGCCTTTCCCCGCTCGGCATCTATTTTAATCTCACCGAACCTGTCACTCAACCAGGGACTCGCACATCACAACTCGTGGAGATGAACGAACAAGCAAATACCAAGCCAAAAATAGCATCCAGATAAGGTGTTAACGGGATCCATTGGATGAGAGACGTGGAGTCGCGGTGCCTGAGCGCTTGGAAGGAGTATGTTGTGAGGGCGCTTATTCGCGATGAGGGTCCGGGAGGGCCGAAAATAGCATATCCTATCTGTAGCTAATTCTGTAGGGCTAGCCGGACTTAAAATAGACACATATCTCCATCGTTCATACAAATACCAACCTCCCAATTCCCACTCTCATTCACAGAACAAAGAGGAGAGATAAAAGAGGAAAATTTACTCCGCAAAAGGCCTATAAACCAACAACCCCCCCTCCGTCTCAAAGTTCACCTCAACCCCAGCACCCACAAAATAAACCCACCCTTCCTTCAACTCAAACTTCTCACCATCCACACCCATCCACCCACTCCCCCTCACAACAACTAACAAACTCACTCCCTTAACCCCCCTGTGCACCTCCTTCTCCCCTTTCCCAAGCCTTACCCCCAGCACCGAAAACTCCGAAAACGGCGGCTCATAAACCTCCGTCTTCCAACACTTCCCAACATCGCTTTTCTTCGTCCTCAAAAGAGCACTGTCCACATCATGCGGCGTGAAGCTCAACGACCCCGTAAACAAATCCACATCATCGCTCTCCGCCTTGGGACAAAACCCCGTATTAATGACATTATCCGACCTTGCCATACACTCCATAATATCCCCGGTAAGGTACGCATGCATACTATCCGCAGGCACACAAACCGCCTCCCCAGGCCCAAGGGTCATATAATTCATAAGGATCGTGGCAACAAGACTCCCATTATCGGTATCTGGGTACATCTTCTTCAATCTAGTCAGTAGGCCAGGGATGTATCGCTGATTCGGGCCGAATTGGGCCTCTGGGATGGTGAGCAGGGAGGAGATGGTTTCGGAGACCAGTATGGGCGGAAGAGTGAGTAGGATGCGGGAGATTTCGCGCAGAAGGGAGTCGTCGAAGGTAGGGGCGTTGGATTCTGTGGGGAGGAAGCGTTGGAGAGGGGCGAGTTTGAAGAGGTTTTCAATCTCGTGGAGGGGCTTGAAGCCGACGAAGAGCTCGAAGTTGGAGAGGGCAATGGCGATTTCGGGCTTGTGGTTCGGGTCCGAGTATTTGTCTGGCTGGGATTCGTGGAGTTTCTCGGCGAGCTTTTTGTCGGGGTGGATTTGGAGGGGGAGAGCTTTTTGGAAGGAGAGGATCTTCATTCGTACAGATATGTTGTTAGTGTTTATGACAGGGTGATGGGATGGGGTTGGCATAGGGTAAGGTATGTACCTTCGGGAGAAAAGGCACCTCCGTACCCCATTTCTTGTATCCTTCGCCTGTAACCTCGGGGTGCTTTTGGAGGTACTCGCTCAGCAGTTCACCTGTGGCAAGGATGCGAGATGGGACGGTGGGATATGTGCCCATCCACATCTAGTTACAACTAATTAGCATAATTATCTCCTAGGTGGGTAAAGTGATATACCTCAGAATAATGCTGACCATCCTCCACTTCAATTGTACCAGGGGTCTTGGAGCAAAGAACACCAGCTAACGAGTTTTTACCTTGCTTACCCCAAGGATCATTCTATTAAGGTCAGTTAATTGGCAAATTTATGTAAAATATTATGATAAATTGATGCATACCTTGATCCCGCACTTAAGCTGAAAAACCGAGGCTGTCATTATGATGATGGTGGAATTCAATTGATATGTACTATGCTCTGAAAGAAACTCGATAATACTCCATTTAGGCCAGGGAGAAGACTTCATAAGATATACAGATATTTACTTATATATGAAGTTCTATGTTGACTGCGTGAACATGGCGTCATGGACTGCGTGGAATGGCCGGATGGGATGGCGTCATGCCCTGATCACTACTGCCATGCCCTGATGGTCTCGCCCTGGTCCGGGAAGCCTTCCGACGAGTGATGGAGTTTAAATCTTGCCTTTCTTATCTTATCTGCACATACTATATTCTCTCTTTAAGTGATTCAACTCGTAGAAATTTGGAAGACAATAGTCCCTGAGGATGCAATTAGAGAGTAGTGGTGAGGGCGGGCCGTCAAGTTGACGTCAGTTCAGTGTGGAATGTTACTTGGGTACTATGACTGCAACGCTGTCAGTGTTAGTAATCTAGGGTAATGCTACGATGGATCACTACTAATAAATATTGAGTTAACTATAGTTGAATTTCAATTATCAAGACCAAGAAATTTATTATGGTGAACGGCTAGTCCAAATATAACGGAAATTTGCTCAGAAATCCGCCAACGCCCTATAAATATATGCAGATGTGCTAAACTCCCCATCACGGCCGTCACGCATGAAGCTAGTAATGCATCGCTAAACCGGGTCAACATCACAACAAAACAATCATTAATTATCCATAAATATCATCAGCATCCGGGACCATCGCCGTCGTCAAGTTTCTCCCAGACCGGCCCCGCTTCTCCGTGGCTCCCCCACTGCGACCCAACGCCGGACTGCCCCGTCGACTACTAGTGGCAGCACTATAGTAGTCCACACTGCTCCTATCTCGTCTAGTAGATAAAGGTCGTTCGTATCGCTCTCTCCTCTCCTCATAGTACTCATCATCATAGCAATCCTCTGCAGCATCAGGATACCGGCGATGACTCCGCCGGGTACCCTCACTCGGACAACTACTCTGCACACTATGCCGCTGACTCGACCAGCGACGTGAAGTCGGGAGTCCAAGTTCCTCAGCATACTGAGGTGCAGTAGGAATGTACTTGAATCGGGGAGAGTGCTGACTCTGTCGAGAAGCCTTTTCAGCCATCTCCGTGGGATAATCTTGATGAATTGGTCGGTAGGTGAACTGAGACACCCGCCTCTCTGCTTTGGTTTGACGGTCGGTGGGGGTAGTGTTCTCTTTAGGGTAGTCGGTGGTGGTTTTGGAGCGGGAGCTGATGCGCATGGAAAGACGGCGTGGGTTTAGCGCCTTGACGGAGAAAGAGCTGGGTTGGGTGGATTCGTGATGATCCTCGACAGGAGTATCCTGTCCTCGACTTAGAACTTCGTAGGCGGGTCGTCTGCGGTCTGATGACCGGTGGGGGTCGTCGCGCTGGTTCCAGGAGCCCTCGGTGGGAACGGTGATGCCCACGTCGCCCCATCGTTCGTGCAGCCGTTTGTGGGATCCGTTCTTACGGAATCGACCGAGAGGGCCGGTGACTATACTGGCCATGGTGGAGACGGAGGTGAAGAGATGGAGGATGATTGGATAGAAGGACGCAACTCTCAGCCTTAAAATAGCTGGAGATGACACATGACAATGGCAGAGTATAAGCTCTCTAGAGTGGAGGCTTCTACCCCAGACTCTCCAACGGTTGGCCTGGTAGCTAGAGACTAGGCAGGGTAAGGTGCAGCAGACACGGTGCTGACAGATGCACGTCTAGCCAGGGCAGAGAGGATAGGTCAAGGTGATTGGAGGAACAGGCAAGACAAAATAGAAGTCAAGTTAATTAGTAGAGTATAATAGGCAAGACGCAACAACCTCGCAAAGCACAGACCATATCAAGATACTTTGTCAAAAGAATCCAAGTAAGGCTTTCTCCAAGGCTGCCAGTCTGGTTCTAAGACAGCCTCGTCTGAACATGGCGGATGGTCCATATAAAAGCCTTGCACGAGCAGGGGCCGCGATGGTGATACCTTTCTTGTTCCACCATCGATATCAAAACGCATCATGCATGTTCATTTGTTTGTTGCCAAGTTTAGAAGCACACTCCATGCCCATCACCCGCATCCTGGCTGTCTCATCGTGGGTTAGCCGCCCGGGGTGACGGGTGGGCGCTTCAGCCAAGGGTTCGACTGGAGGGATCGTCCGGCGGGTGGAAAAGGAATACCACTGATAGGCTGACCAGATGCCATGATCTATTTTCAGATCACTGGTTTACCGTCCTAATTAACCGCCCGGCTTGGAGGAAAGAATGGTGGTTAATGCGGACGGATTTAGAAGCACTAGTTGGTCACTTGCAGCAGCGTCGCGCCCGGGAACCCCTCCCTCTGGCCATGAAACCACTCACACTCTGTTCCATCGGGCTGGGAGGCCACTTCATCCCATCCGGCGTTTCATCTGGTCGGTAGGTAGGGTTGGGAGCCAATGGCAGGTGGTGCTTCCTTGTGATCTTCTATTTTTGGAGCTGGACTCGACGTTGGTGTGATAAAGCCTGCTACTGTGCTGTTACTAAGCTATGCGGGGCTTCGGGTTGTGAAGTATTAACCTGGATTAAGTTGTTGAATTGTGCAAGATTTTAGAAGGTTATAGAGTCCATAGTAATATGGAGCTATACTATTTGGAGGAAAAGTCGGTTATATAACAATATGGTACTAATGACTGAGAAGGCGGATGGAGTAGCTAAATAACTCGACTTAACCTTTCCGATGAGCTAATATTCTCTATTTGCATACTTTTACCGGCAACCACATTTCTTCACGGCCTGCTGGTAATGCTCCTAGAGCAGAATATGTTCTATATAAGTCTACGCGTGTTGACGACAGATTCATGTTAGGGCATGCTAAGTAACCGAGCAGTACGGTGGTACTCTATTTTTGTGATAGCGGTGCAGCCAACTGCGAATCATCCTCAAAGCAAAGGTAAGTCTAAAAGCGAAGTGTGGTCTCTATCCAGTCACCCCCATAGAAAAGAACTCAAGTCCTGACGTATGATTCTAAAATGCAATCCCCGTCTAGACCCATTGCCATGAGCCAACGCATGAACTGCCCGATAAGCTAGTAAATCCAATCAAGCCAAAATGTCCTCATCAATATATAATATTTACACCGAAAGAAAGGTTCCCATCTTTATGTTCTCTGTTGATCGCAGCGTTCCAGCACATACGTCACAACTGAGTATGAGCGATCAAGCAATATATATTCGGTTAGTTGTAGAAATTACGGGAAGTGGGATTGGAGACATAGGCTTTGGGCGTCATCCGGAGGTGGTGAGGGGAAGGTGGCAACGAGGGCTCAGGTGTCGTTGGCATCGCGTGCGCAGATAGGTCTGGAGGCCATACAGGAGCTCGCTGCGAAGTCACCCGTCCTATATGTATGGGAGAGGATGGATGTGGTGACTGTGCGCTGCCGTTAGGGGTGGCCTCATCGGAAGGCGGGTCGTCGGATGATGACGGTTCCCATGAAACATGCCTTTCTAGCGGGACGCGGGTCGGAGGGGAGGATTCCTCACTATGTTCGTCGCTCTCAGAACAAGGACTATAGAACCCGTCCCCGGTGTTGAAAGTTTGGCTCGGATTGCTTTGACGGCGCCGTTGCACTGCTTGGTCCAGTCTGGCAGAGGCCACAGAGTCGATTCGGTGCGTTTGTTCGGATAGCAACACACTGCGGGACCTTTGTAGGAATGGTCTTGTCCGCCGGCCTGGATCGTGGCGGGCATGTTTGATCTTTTCGATTTCATGGTTATAGGAGCTTCTCCGGTTCAACAAACGTCCTCGGCCCCCACTGCTGTCGAGGGATTCGATCGAATGGCCAGCAATGCTATCTGTTCTTGCGTGGACGCGGCTCGGGGAGAAGGCCACTCGAGCCCGCATTTTCTGAATGGCCAAGTCCAACGCCAATTCGATGGCGCAGTGGTTGCGTATTCGTCCAAGCTTGGGCCATGTGGCCCGCTCGCCGCTTAGACATGCTTGAAGCATAAACTCGGTCGTCGGGTTGCGTAGCATGACGGGAATCCGAGAATACTGAATTTCCGGATATATATTGATGTCTCCGGAATACTTTTGGTTGACAATCGAAACTGTTTTGGTCAAAGACGTGGGAAAGATCCCTAGCTCGGACATGACTGTCATCCGGTGTAGAATCTCATCCTTGGCAAGATATGTGATATTCCGGATCCAACGAGAAGCGGTGAAAGAGTTCTCCAGATACGGATCTGGCCCATCATCCTTGGGTAGAAATGGAACGACATGGGGATTAACCTGCGATACAATGAAATGGTTGACGTTGAACATTTCCGACAGACGAGTCATAGGGAGGTCACCGTCCACGGAGCCATCAATATATTGCCTATGAAGGTCGCTCCATGGAACTGGTTCTCCTGTCAGGGGGTCCTTAGCCATAAGGGCATACGGCGAAAAGACTACCGGGACTGAACATGAGACGGCCCTGTTGAAGTCAGCATCAACTCCTATAGGTTTGAGAACAGTCGGAATTATGTAAAGGTATCATACACAGCAGACCAGATCAACACATTGGGCGCAGTTATGTAGTTCAACAACTTGGGTAGCTCGTAGATTCCAGCACTGGAAACGCAAATGTTGAGAATGCGTCGTGTACGGTTATATGCCTCCTGGAAAGTGATATCGCCCAACCAATTTCTCACCACCTTGGCTAGGTGGGAGATGTCCAGAAATGATCCATATTTCAGAAACCGGGCTGTCTTCTGAAGGATAGTATCTTCCTCAGTCCCCTCGCCGAAAACAGCAAAGTCCCCTTCTGTGAAAGAGTCCAGCAAAGCCGGCAGCTCATCCTCAGTGCGAGTACAGAAGACCGCACACACAATGCTGCCCGCAGACGCGCCAGAGATGATTCGTGGCAGAAGGTTAGCTTGCCAAAGGGCCTTGAGTACACCAATATGATTCATGCCAAAAGTGGCTCCCCCGGAGAAGAGGAGCGCACTTCGCCCGAAAGCCTGTCTCGCTGCGAGCAACTGGTCGAGGATATACCTTGATTCCACCACGTCGCACCGGTTTTTATCCGCCAGCTCAACTAAAGACAAGATTGTTTCCAGAGCGGTATCAATGTATTGATCGATGAGGTTCTTAGTCCCGAGATGAGCATGCTTATAGAGAGAGGCGTTGCTCATGTTGCCTAGATCGCGGCTCAGGGACGTGCGGATGAGGAACAACATGCGACTGATATCACAGTTAATTCGGGCATCGTCAAGCTGCTTGAGACGATCGAGCACGAGATGAGGGTCATAGTCGGGGCACTCGAACGTTTCCTTCCAAGCAGAGTTATTCTCCAACTCATCCAGTTCGCTCGCAGCGTCTCGCCATTCTTCGTAGGTCACAGCCTGAAAGACATTAGCTAACAGCCATGCCGGCTAATCCTGAATCGTGTGAAGCTGTCTTTAACTCACATTGCGCTTCTTGAGGTACAAAGCCTCCTTTCGCTCATCCACAGCAGCGCGCAGTCTGCGTTCCTTCTGGGACTGACCATTCCCATAGGAACCCCACGTGTCCCCCGCCCATGTCAATGAGTTTTTGACGACGGCCGACAGCGACGGGAGAGAGACGGACTTGAGGACGGAGCGACGGGGTTTATTTGGCGTCTCCAGAGAGCGCGGTTTGCCCTTTACATGACACTGGGGTCGAACAAGGGAGGAATCATGCAGGATGGACATGACCGGCTTCAGGGTGCATCAGGCTCGCATCGGTGCGGAGATGGAGGGGAAACTAAGTTTGGATTGGAGAGGGTGCCTAAACCAGGTAGGCAAATCGGAGATCTTAGCGAATTAGGCCCGATAAAGCATTCGAAAGGTACTTTCAATAGGTAGAAGTAAAAAAGTGAAAGGAAGGGAGGATGTTGGTGATGTTAGGAATGTAAGTCGGAGGAACAGCAAGAAGTAGATAGATGTAGCCGCAAGAGTTCGTGCGCCGCGTCTTTAGCAGGTCAGGCACGAGGCAAGGCCAACCCATCCGTCAGTCAGCCGGATCCATGCATTTTAGTTTGCCTGGTCTTCTGCCAGGGATGACCGAGAGAGAGAAAATGGCCACTCTTTTTCTCCAGACGTCACGAGGCAGCATTCCCCGGATGTCTGATTGGTCCCCCGGCTTTCCAGCGGGTGCTGCCGATCGCCCCAGTCACGGGATGGAGTTGGGAATTACTCTTCAAGTATTCTATTGTTCACTGAAACACCATTGCGGGTTATTGCTCAAAGAGCCTAGAACCAGTCTTCATCTTCCATCTTATCATCATCGATGAACACCCCATGTCCTCATCACATAACACTAGACTCTTATCCAGTGGACCCCGACACCAGATCCCCGATCGGCATTTGTACCAGTGTGTCAAAGTAAGTGTGCGATGGCGATTTCTTCATCCGATGGCCGATACATCCGGTGATATCATACCCCCACAATTCTCTGCTGTATTCCTTTTGCATGCTAAAATCTGCAGATCAGCAAAACTCAAAGGGCTTCCACCTCATGCCCTAGACTATTACCCGGTGTCAGATCCAGCCTGATCGGGAACAGCGTTAAATCGGACCTGGGATGGCAACCTTGGTTCACCGGCCTGGCATGGATGGTTCAAGCTTTCGGATCCTATAAGGATATGCTGTATGTATTTTCCTGCCTTTTCACTCCTCGAGAGTTTTGCGACAAAATATGAAAATCCCAGCAGACCGGAACGTCTTGCGTCATGGGTGTGGTGATTTCGCCGATGAACGAGTAGAGACCACAGGGACTTCACTCATCACTGCAAAGACACCATGGCATACAGGATCATGCAAAATGCAGCTGAAACATACCCGAAATGGATGCTCGTCGGAATCAGCTCTTTCCATGGAGGGGACCTTCCTCTGTCGGAACGGTCAGGCGAGCCACACACACGCCCGCTTCACATGCTTCACCACTCCGTCGACCCCTGTCCCTGCATGTGAAGGGGGAGAGATAATCCACCATCTGGTTGGCACTCTATCACGCAAGCCTCTCGTATCTTAGACACACATGATCTAGACTCGAAGTAGGACACGATAAAACCAGGCTGACCACCCACACATGTCAAAATAATCCAACCATCTTATCAAGATGTCGACATCTGACACACCCAGTCCCGGATAGCTTGTCTCGCCTGAGCTTCGACACCATGTTCTCTCCAGAAATGACCGGCTCCCTCGATCTCCACCGCCTGGAACCTACTCCCCGGTGCATGGGCCAGTTCGGCTGACCACTTCTCTAATTTACTCGCCGATGTGAATGTATCCTCGTCACCAAAGATAGCCAATGTCTCATGCGCACACAGCTGATCTGCCGGCTTGGGACAGGGTATCTGTCCCTGTTTCCATTCCCCGGATGCCGATGATATCTGCGCACTCGCATCAAGCGACATCTTCGAAAACAACGTCAAGAACTGATTAACCGGCGGCAGCAGCGGAGACACAAGGAGATAAGAAACAGCAGCAGTGCGTTTAATACAATCCGCCGCGGATCTTATCTCCTCCACCGTAGCTGGACGATACATCGGCTGCTCCATTTCCTCCCCCAACCCCAAGCAAAGCGACAACTTCTCTGCAATCTGGTAGATCTCATGAAACGGCGACTCGGGCGATGAACACCGCACCAAATCCACAACATCATGAAGCTTCGGCAAATGCGACGCAATCATCGACCCATACGAATACCCACCCAAAACCAGCCTTATCTTACCCCCATCCTCTTTCCTCCCCTCCTGCCGTACTGCCCTTTCCCTCAAAAAATGCAAATAGAGCAACATAAACCCATAGAAAGAGACGTAATCCGCCAACTCAGGCCTAGCCGTCCAACTCGTCCGTCCCTCGGAACCACCAGCGCCCCTGCCCATACCTAATTAGCAACCATCACATCGCATCACCTCACACCAACTCCCCAACATCCATATAAATAAACAGGTAGTATCAAAATTAAATAGATGTATAAAAGGGATGAACATACCGAAAATTAAACATCCCAACAACACACCCCAACCTCAATACCTCCCCACCCACAACCCCCACAACCGGATCATCAAAGCATCCTCCCAGCGGCGCGTACGGATGCGCGATGATCGCCCCGCGCAGCAACCCGGAACTGTCGCGGAGTAATTTCTTGGGCAGATCTGGAGGCAGGTAGATGCGACAGTCTAGACGAAGACGGTCGTGTATGGAGGGGATGGAGAAGGTGTATGTTGGGGTGGAGGGGAGGGACATTTCTTTTTCTTCTTTCTTCCTCCCTTCTCTCCTCTGGTTTAAAGAAAAGAAAAGGATCGGGTTGCAGTGTGTCGTCCTCCTGGTGTTGGAGGGGTGATAGGGGGATATACGAGTGAAAGTGTAGGAAGGGAAAGAAAGGGTAAGTCGTTATTAGAAGAAAGAATATGGAGGGGTATTTGTGTGTTTATAGTGGAGTAAATTGAAATAAAATAGGAAGTGATGTAGGGGAAATAAAAGAGATTAGTGGGATGATGACGGTGATGATGGTGATGTTTAAGGTAGTTAAAAGTGGTGAGTGGGGTAACCCAAACTAAGTTATTTACTAGTGTGTCTTGGTTGGGTCGGTCGGTCAGCTTAATTTGGCGGTCATTCGAGACATTCAGTTTCTGCTTGGAGATCATGAGATGAGGATGCTGGCCACCATAGTTGTTAGGGATGAGGCTAGTTGGATGGGATTAAGCTTTTGATCTACTACTGTACTACTGAGTAGTAGGGAAATTATTTTTTTCATGTTATGTTCATAATCAGCAGTGGTGCATCTTCGTTGGGTGCAAAATATACTATCACACTGCGATGTGGATATATTATCGAGAGGGTCCTGATTCCAAAATTCCCACGAATTATTTGAATGATATGATGTATGTAAATAGTCAGCTACTAGCAAAAGTAAATTCTATACGTATAGCTGCCATGGAATCAAAGCAGCGGCCACACTCTCATCACAACCCCCACTGCTTCTTAACTTTATTCTTCACATCCTCTATCGAGACCATCTCATCCGTACGCACATCATCAGGTCCCAGAGGAGCAGACGGCTCCGGGACCCGAGCCCACGAATGATCCGGACTACAGATGTTGGCCGTTGTCGGCTTCCCCTCCTTTACCAGCTGTACGCAGTCATCACACAGATCGACCGCGCATTCGCGGCAAATATTCCCCTTTTCCCACGTCGCTGACGACACTCCACATCTAGCTTCGCAGATCCAAGCTGTTTCCTCCGGACTACTGACGCTGATAAGGATGGCTACCGCGGTGGACTCGTCATTCATCATGAGTAACAGCTTTGCAAAGGCATAGCTGGCTGTGTATGTACTCATCGCGTCGTTTTCGGCATAGACAAATTTCTTGACGAACGGGAGACAGTATTCCCGGGCCTTCTCCGGTTGATCGATTCGGTGATACCACAAACCAAGAATGGCTGTGGCAAAGTTGTTGGCAGCCCATTCGGAGACATGGTCTGAGTGGACCACTCTTCGTTTAGCAATCCGTTGGAGTGTGTGTATGTAGCGTTCGGACTCTCTGGTGCCTGGTCCGGCTCGGATGGCCCTGGTAAAAAGATAGACGCCATAGTATCTGCTCACTAGCGATTGTATGTATAGCATCAGCAGGTTCCCCTGCATGAATGTTGCGGGAAAGTCCATCACCATCTGCCAGATCTCAACAGCGCGGGATTCCTTGTTGTCATAGCTGATGAAGAGGTCTGCCAGAGACACTTGCAGAGAAAACGCCAATACCGAGTCGCGCTGTTTTTTTGCTACCTCAATTGCTGTCATGTAAGCATATTCAAGCCATTCGAGCTGATCTGTGGCTCTGGCAGCAAACGCAATGGCCTGGTAGAAGTCACTGGACCAGACCATTCTTGAATTCTCCGAGAGACACTCTGTCAAGCGTGTGGCACCATTGTCACCGGACGCAGTGTCTAACCTTTTCAGGTGCTGTATGATTTTCTCATGGCTTTCAGGAGTCTTCTCTTCTGCAAGGAGCTGGATGTACTTAGAGAGGAACTTGCCCTCGGTGGTGACATCCAGAGCCTTTTCTAGGTAAATCAAAGCACTGGCTCTATCTCCGAGTGACAACAGTTCTTCGCCCACAGACTGGTAGGTGTCTGCAAGATCATAGTCTTCAACACTGTGAGGGAGCTTATCACGCGCCTCAGGGTTTTCGGAAGCAGCCTCCAATATTTCAATATTCTCTTTGTAGAGCTCCAGAGATTCCTCATGTTGGCCACTGAGACTGTAGAGATATGCTAGACCGCTTCTAGCGAGCCACATCTGATTGTCCAGTTCTAATGCCGCTTCAAAGTAAACCTGGGCTTCCTCATAGTGTGACGTGTCCCTCAGGCAAATGGCAACTCTCCGGTTCCATTCTGCTGTCTTGGGAAGTTTGGCCCATTCTGCCGCATCAAGCACAGTTGAGGCAGCAGGATTGTCGGAAATTTCTTCGTCTGCTTGGCCTTCAAACAGGCATCTTATCCGATATATGATCAGCATACACGTACGTGCGTCCCATTGGTAGCCCTGGAGCCATTTCTTTGCAATGCACTCCGCAGCCGGAACGAGCAGCCTCGCGGGCTCCCGAATACTACTCAACACCCAGTCGCGTACATCAGCCGGCAGAGAGTCCACAAATTGCTTATCATCCAAAAGCTTGGAAAATGGAATCAACGTCTCCAAAGACCAAAAGTTATCTGCATCCCGTAAACTGATCCAAGCCTCCAGCACGGATTCATCACGGAGTGTTTTGAGCAGGAGGCTCCCGATTTCCTGCCGGTCGGTCTCCCCAATTCGATGAATGTGAGGGATGACGGCCTTCGCATGGCTATACCACCAGACAAGTGCATAATTCCGGAGGTTTGGACATTGGTTTGAGTCGCAAACCAACTGTAGACACGCTTTCAGTGTTGAGATTCTAGACTCAACAATATCAACACCAATGGCCACATAGTCGGGACCTGCAGAGAGCTTATTCTCGTTTTCATCACGAAAGAAATCACCAACAGACGCATGGCAGAACGTGACTTCTGTTGTTTCTGGGTTGGAATTGAAGTCGGTTTCTAGTTCGAAGGACTCCGCATCTTCATAATGATCGTCATCGATCTGAAGAGAAGATACATCTATTTCCGTCTGCAAGTCGGCGGTTGTCAGGCCGTCATCTCGGACGAGTGTCAGAAAGGACGCAAATTGCAACCTAAGCAAACTTTCGATGCCGACAATCTCCTCTGGGTCAGAGGAACCCAGACTCAGCGTGTATTCGATCTCTCGAAGAGAAAGAGGACGCGAAGCACACGCAACCCAGCCCAAGATGGTATTTAGTTCTTCAGGATCGTCGCCCTTCAAATAAGCGCTTAGGCCTTCCAGGGTACGTCTCATGGCCTCATACAGACCCTTCGGCGGTCGTTGTAAGCACTCCCTCATACTGCTCGCTCGATTGTGTCGCCCCAACTCTTGGGTCATTAGGTCTACCCAAAGGAACATACCCTGTGCGTTCTTCACAAGAAATTCCATGACTTCTTTGCGCAGGCTTGGAGGCGCACGAGAGATGTTCCTAGACCTCCTCATAGAATGCTCAACGTAACGAGCGATATCATCATCATTCTTAGATCGATCTATAGAGATGGAGGCGACTGACTCCTGCAAGGCATCGGCTACATCAGCGGAAAGGTGGGGTCGTCCCAGCATAACGAACTGTACCCTGGGTTTGCCTGCGCATAGGTAGACTCAAATTAGCTTCCGACGGGCAGACGGCAGGACCATTGGAAACTTACTGCCAGCTTCATCAGCTGTAAGCTCAGACAGAAACTCCAAAAGACTCTGCCTGTCGGCCTCCATGCATTCGTCCAGGCCGTCTAGAACGATATAGGCATGCCGGCTACCTGCATCATCTTCAATAAAGTAGTCCCGGAACAGCGTCATCCATGCGCTCTGAAGACTGCATATATCACCGGGTGCGCTGCAATGAGTTGCAACGTGTCCGGCATATACCGAATCATTGAGGCAGATTTGATATGCCACGTCCCGCAACGCCTGGTGCAAACCTCGAGTTTGTGGGTTGTTATCCTTGAAGAAATAGTAGCCAACAGAGACTTCTGAACCTTGGTCGACGCCCTGGGGAAATCTTGTCTTCAGATTCGAGATAATGTATTCTGCGAGAAAGCTCTTGCCACAACCGGGAGGACCATGAATCCAGAGCAGGGGTTGCTCTTTGTTCAACCAAGCCTGGAATCCCACCTCTGCCTCTATCCATTCTCCAGTTCCAGACAGCCGTTTTCTTGCGAAAGTGTAATACATGTCTGAAGGGCCTACTGACGGCTGTAAAAGTGTCCTCAGGTAGTCAGAATCACCATTGGCCTTTGCACCTGACCCTATGAATGAACCTAATAGGCTACTGATGTCTCGGTGCACCTCCTGACGAAGATCATTCTGACCTTCGACGAGACGTTGGAGATCCGCCTGAGCCTGGGCTAACCTCCCATGGTTATCTTCTAATACAAGACTAGCGCCATTAAGCACAGCAGACAGATTCTCAACAGCTAAGTTGGTCTTTTTGGTCTCACCCAGGGTCTCTGCTCCAACTAACTGGTGTTCCGTTTGGCAGAGCCTGTCCAGCTTGGAAACCAGACCCTGTAGTGTTTTGTCGGAACCAAGCAAGGTATTCTTGGTAAATTGGAGGATTCGACCTCTCAATCCAGCCCGAACTATCTTGGTCGCTTGACCAAAGATCTCAAGTAATGTAGCTAGGATATCAACAACCTTGGCTTGAAGTGCATCCGACATGCGACTACCGTCGTAGATGGCGAGGCGGACAAGAAAGTCCTATATTCTCAGGAGGGTCAGACCACGCTGTCTGGCAGGGTTTGTGATATGATATACATAGACTTGCCTTCAAGGTCACAAAAAGTGCCATGACTGCATCATAAGACGCCGACACATCTTTCGCAGCATCAATAAGATATGTAATGGCGCTGAAGCACACGCCACTGGCTGGAAAGGCGTTAGATGCAATGCTTGCAGCCATAGACCCAAAGCGTTCAATTGGATTGCAGATGCATGTCAGAATCTCGAAAAGCGAGCGCTTCCTCTGTCTAAACTGGCCAAAATGGCCGTTCTGACTATCCAGTCGATCGAGCAACTCTTCCACTGAAGAGGGGTGGGGTAGTGAGGGATCATCTAGTTGTTTGCCCACAGCCGCAGTATATCTCTTCAACGCCAAATCCCAGGTCACCACAAACTGGGAGTGGCTTTCGATGGTAATTGTCATCTTGTTCTATGCTGCTATCTTGTTCTATGCTGCTGGCTGATTTGGAGGAAGACAGAAGACGATGGCTGCTGCAGAAAGGAGCTAGTCCGGTCTTGTTCTGGCCCCGCCGCCCAAGAGAATAAGCGATGCCATACGAGCTATTTACCAAAATAGACAGGATTTGTGAAATATAGCGAAGTCCGCACTGCACATGTGGCATACAGTAAATATTAGGATCTATATTATATCCCGATGTTCTGCAGGAGGCTCTGCATAGCGGACTGATCGTCGTAGGTTGAGCTGGAGTGCCAGCAACCTGCAGACTGCATACAGGTCAATCATGAACCCTCTGACCTGCTCTAGACATCAAACAGAAATGAGTATTACCCGAAATCACTACGCTAACCAACACCTTGCTCCCGTCTATAGTCAAATCGTAGGCCTGTGAGATATGATTTCATGATTCAGGGAGCAGCCAGGCGGGATCCGGCTCGTCATCTTCATCGTCAGAGCGAGACACTGCACCATGATGGTGCTCATCAGTATCCTCGAGGAACTCAGCCGGAGGCTCGGGGTTGTCAACACCAAGGGGATCTCCATGAGGGTCATAATCCTCGTAAGTGTGAATACTGTTCGAGGTTCCTTTGTCGGCAGACGGGGAAATGTCTGTTTCAGTCACATTGAAGACATTCAAGAGCAGTTGCCGTGCTTCTCGCAACGCTTGCAACTCCGCAGATATGCAACAAACCAGCAACTTCCAGTCTTTATTCTCTGCAACCTCTAGATGATTTTCTACGCGCTCTGTGGTATGCGTCAGGTCGTCCAATACTGCCCGAGCGAGGTCCTCTTCGGACTTGCTACCAGAAGGGCCATCGTGGTTCAGTAGTTGCGATTGAGATTGGATAGAAAGACGCATTGCTGACTTGAGTCGCTTCTCAAAACCAGAAACCTCTCCGATCACTTGCTTCCAGACCCCACCTCCAGCTTCGAGGGCCTCGATTTCGGCATCCACTTCCCGTTGTCTTTCGCGCAGATCTGATTGTTCCTTTTGCCAGTGTTCCTCTGCCATCTCGAGGGTTCGTCGCTTAGGGTTCAAGGAATAGAAACTTGCGTCTTTGGAGCTGCTATCTTGAGGTTTCACGGGCGGGTTTTGGAGGTACTTTCGAATATTCGAGTCTAGGAGCAACATGGAGGCTCTGTAAGAAGAAAGTTTCGATTCAATAGAGTTTTCCATTTGGGACAATTCGCGAAGGATATGTTGATGTCTTGCTTTCATTTGGGACAGCCTAGTCTCCAACTCATGTATATCATCCTCAAGCTTGCGGCTCTCCTGGCGCAAGGCTACGGTGTGCTGGCTTTCCCGGTTATCCTGGATTGTTGAAATGGCATTTTCTAGCCCAGTGCGATTGGTATTAAAGCCATTGATATCTGCCAACGCCTGTGTCCTTTCATCAATCCGGAATGTTAGTATCTCTCGCTCCTCCTCGCGAAGCCTTAAGAGGTCGTATATAGATCTGAATATCCCCTTCCGGGCAGCAGACAACCCGATCTTCTCCGGAGCCGGTTGGCGTATGGGTATAGTTGGGGGACGCTGCGAACTGCTTGTCTCCGAGGTTGGTGTATAAGTTCCATCAGAGATGGAGCCATTCTGCTGGGGACCGTTAAGACTGGCAAGAAGTCCTTCACTCTGGGCGTCGATTAGAATCTGTAAATTACGCTGAATATGTCTGGCCTCGCGGTCAATGTAAACGATAGGGTCCTGGTGAAGAGAAGAGGTCCCGATAGGCAGGGCCGGCAGGTGTTTGACTCCAGCTTGCGGAAGAATCGACGACATGATGAAGAACTGGAACGCGGAAAACAGAGAACTACCGATGCATGAGAGTCCTCTCCTAGTAAAACCTGCAAAGAGAACAAAAGCGACAACCCGGAACCCAAGTGATGATGAAGTGGTTGACTAGATCACGAGTGTTTGTGCAACTGCCCTGTCCGGTCTCATGCCATCATAGGTCACGTGCCATCTCTAGGGGTTTCTGCAGGAACCACGGGAACCTTTCGACAGCTTCCATTGACGTGTGTCTCGCTGCTCTGGAGGAAGCTTCCTGATCACTCCGAGCTCATCTCTTCCATCATCTGTTATTTTGTTGCCTTACCTTTTTCATCGCCCGTTTTCTGTACATTTCGTTCTTCGAGGTGCTTAGATCTTCAATAAACACCCCACCCACTCACCCACGACTTACCCTCAATCTCACAGCTCCGTCGAAGCTGTCGCCTCACTCCCCTCGCGACAGCACTCCCGTCCTCCCACAGCGATGGTTGGACTCGCTTCGGCCGCTGGCCTCGTCGGCTTTCTCTCTGAGCCGGATCCCGAGTTGAGAGTCTTTGCTCTGAAGACGCTGGACTCACAAATCGACCTGCTCTGGACGGAAGTCGTGGATGCTGTTCCTCAAATGTTCGTACTGGCTCTTGTCTCACCATCTGCCTCATACCTTCATCATAGATACCCCATCTGTCCACCGGTTACAGGCCCCATCGATGCTGACCTTTTGCGATTCAGAGAAGCACTTTACGAAGATGAATCGTTCCCCGAGCGCGAGCTCGCCGCCCTGGTCGCCGCAAAGGTGTACTACCACCTTCAAGAATACAATGAGAGTATGGTATTTGCTTTGGGAGCTGGGAAGCTCTTCCAGTTGGATAGCGGTGGCGAGTTCGAGGAAACCATTATCGGTAAGATTGACTGTCCCCTAAGCGTCTGCTCACTGAGAGCGTCCTCTTACTGGTATATACAGCAAAATGCGTCGATACCTTCGTCTCTCTCTCGGCGGCACAGCGGCCCGTCGCGGGTGACCAGCAAGCCAACCTGAACACCTCTTTTCCCACCTCCGGCGAAGGCGCCACGAGTACCTCTGCCAGTTTGACATCCCCGATCACACCCTTCTCGCAATCAGCCTTGCCATCCAAGTCGCTCTTGTCTAGGCAAGAGGTGCCCGGAGTGGATGCTGCTTACCCAGGGGGTGAAGATGCGGGCGTGAAGCACGCCGAAGAGACCCCTCTAGTCCTGAAGCGTGGTGTGCAGGGCCACCTTCAAACCGTTATCGATCGTCTATTCGAGCAGTGCTTCGTCCAGAAGCGCTACCGTCAAGTCATTGGAATCGCTATCGAAGCCAAGAACCTAGATGTGCTTAGAAAGACGATTCTCCGAGCCAGCGAGGATGAGAAGAAACAGAACGGGGAGTCGCGACGCAGTGAAGAACTCATGGAGTACGTGCTCGATATCTGCATGGGAATCGTGCAGGAACGCGGTTTCCGCAACGAGGTATATTCTCCATTATGATCATGGCAAAACACCCAGAGCTAACCCTTGCTTTGAAGATCCTCAAACTTATCCTCGAACTCCTCAACGAGATCCCGGCCCCCGATTACTTTTCCATTGCCAAGTGTGTTGTATATCTCAACGAACATTCCATGGCCTCGGTCATCCTCCGTCAACTAGTTGAGAAGGGGGACGCTCGCTCGCTCGCTGTCGCCTACCAGATCTCTTTCGACCTCTACGATAACAGTACGCAAGAATTCCTTCAGAAGGTTCGGCAGGAGATTTCGGAGCTCGTGCCGGAGAAAGATGAGTCCGAACAGGAGGCAGCAGGGGAGGACCAAGAAGAGTCGAAGGAGTCCGATCCTCTGCTGGACAGCCAGTCTAGGTCTATTGGGGACTCGCACGCGAAGATCTCACCCGAAGCACGCACGGCCTTTAAGAGCATTCGTGACATTCTCGATGGCGTCAAGACCAACCAGTTGAACGTGGAATTCTTATTCCGCAACAACAAGGCCGATATAGCCATTATGAACAAACTCCGCGATAGCCTGGAAGCTCGTAACTCTATCTTCCACTCTGCAGTCTCCCTCTCGAATGGTTTCATGCATGCCGGTACAGCGCACGACAAGTTCTTCCGGGATAACCTCGACTGGTTGAGCAAAGCTGTCAATTGGTCCAAGTTTACGGCTACGGCTGCTCTTGGTGTCATCCACAGGGGTAACTTGAGTCAGGGACAAAAGCTCTTGCAACCTTACCTGCCTAAGGAACGCTCCATCACCAATGTGGCAGCAGGAGGACACAGCGGAGCCAGCTCGATTTACAGTCAGGGAGGATCTCTGTATGCTTATGGTTTGATCTTCGCCAACCATGGTGGCATGGCTGTTCCTGTCATTCGGGATTACTTCAAGAAGGCTACAGATGAGGTCATCCAGCACGGTGGAGCTCTGGGTCTTGGTGTTGCAGGCATGGCTAGTGGCGATGAGGGGCTTTATGAGGATCTTCGCAACGTGCTATACACCGACTCGGCGATCAATGGTGAGGCTGTCGGTCTCGCCATGGGTCTTATCATGTTGGGTACAGGTAACATGAAGGTCCTCGAGGATATGATTCAGTATGCCCACGACACTCAACACGAGAAGATCGTTCGGGGTTTGGCCATGGGCATGGCCCTGATCATGTATGGTCGCCAAGAAGCTGCTGATGAGTTGATCAACGGCCTTCTCGGTGACCCTGACCCTGCTCTCCGCTACGGTGGTATCATGACTATCGCCCTTGCCTACTGTGGCAGCAGCAGCAACAAGGCTGTGCGTAAGCTGCTTCATGTTGCTGTCAGTGATGTGAACGATGATGTTCGACGAATTGCTGTTCTGAGCTTGGGATTCATTCTGTTCAGGAAGCACCAGAGTGTGCCTCGTATGGTTGAGCTTCTGTCTGAGTCATACAACCCTCATGTTCGTTATGGTGCGGCAATGGCATTGGGTATCTCTTGCGCCGGAACCGGTCTGGATGAGGCCATTGACCTGCTCGAGCCGATGCTCAAGGATTCAACCGACTTCGTGAGACAGGGAGCGCTGATCTCGTTGGCCATGGTCCTCGTGCAACAGAACGAAGCCATGAACCCCCGTGTCAGCTCGCTCCGCAAGGTCATGATGAAGATGATCGGCGATAGACACGAGGATGCGATGGCTAAGTTCGGCTGCGCTGTTGCCCTTGGTATCATCGATGCCGGTGGTCGCAATTGCACCATCAGCCTCCAAACGCAAACTGGCAACCTGAACATGCCCGGTATCGTTGGTGCTGCCGTCTTCGTCCAGTACTGGTACTGGTTCCCTCTCACCCACTTCCTGTCCCTTAGTTTCGCCCCGACCTCCGTCATTGGTGTCGACCAGAAACTCGAGGTGCCCTACTTCAAATTCCACAGCAACACGCGACCCAGCCTCTTCGACTACCCCCCGGAGCAGCAAGTAAAGGCCGAAGAGGCGCCCGAGAAGGTCAAGACAGCGGTCCTCTCGACCACCGCCCAGGCCAAGCGCCGTGCACAGCGTCGGGAGAAGCAGCAAAGGCGCGAAAGCATGGACATCGATCAGACCCCTACGACTCCCAAGGTGTCGGACCAGGTGCCTGACAAGATGGATACGGACGAGACAGCAGTGAAGACGGAAGAAGAGAACAAGGACGGTGAGAAGGATGCTGGCGAGGGACAGAAGAAGAAGGTTGAGCGGGAGAAGGTCGGATATGAGCTTGAAAACATGTCTCGGGTCCTTCCCGCGCAGCTCAAGTACCTCACATTCCCTGATCCCCGGTATGAGCCGGTCAAGCGGGTACGTTGCCCTTCCTATGTTCTGTGTTCTATTGCGATCAATACCCTGCTAACTTCAACGCAGCCTACCGGTGGAGTTGTGGTCGTACTTGACAAGACCCCCGAGGAGCCTCGCGAGACGATTGAGATGACGGCAAGCAAGGAAACCAGCAGGGAGGCTAGACAGCCTGCACCTGCCGCGGATGTCGCGGAGTCCCTTCAGGACCGACTACAGGCCACCATGGGAGCCGCTGGCCTGCAGACACCTCAACGTGGAGCCGGGCGCTTCCCCTTCGGTGCGGATCTGGGCCCGTTTGCGGGTGCTGCCGCTGCTGCCGGCGTACTGACGGCTGTGGATGAGGACGAGGAAGGCGGCGAGGAGGCGCCGGTGCCGAATGAGTTTGAGTATGAATCCGAGCCGGAAGACGAGTAGAGTAGTCCATGAGATCTACGAACCTGCTCGTTGTAATACTAGGATAATTATGGATTGATGTCTTATTTTATCTTTGAAAGCGGCACTAGCTGCGTAACGTTTTGAAGCATTTACTTTTACATATGTTTGTTGTTCGTTGATATAAAAACTTCGGAATAGAAGTGAGGAGTACCAATCACCAACTGTCTCGGCTGTGTGCATGCAGTTTCACGGCCTTGAATTTCCCGAGTGGATTGTTCGATACTTTTGAGTTGCGTAAGTAGTAGCTCATGTTACACATGAAGCCAAACCTACAGCGGGCATATAAGTATCCTAGTATGACACTTTATATAGTGCAGATTCTGTACTTAGTGACACCATCTCCAAGGACACAACACGGAGTTCGGAACCTTTCCAGGTCCAGCTGAGGTGCTACTGTTCAAGATATCCAAACAAATCACTCCCTCAATAAATAATAACAATAGCCATTAATCAATCAAGTGGAGACCAAATCTAAGCAACAGCATACTGTAGATAGTATCCAGCGGACCCTCCCACCCCATCATCATCCCGCATGTCAGATCCATTCATTCATCCAGACGTGCCCCATGAATCCCCAGCTGATCAACAAATCCCTAATAAGATACATGACTTTCTTCACATGCTTACCCTGCCTGACTCCCGGGCAGCCGAACCACGCAGCCAGCCAGCCAGTCAGCCCCATGACATAAAACACACACCTGTTAGACTGTCACTCGGGCAGCAGGGGGGCGGCTGCCTCGGCACTTACTGTATTCGGTCAATGCAGGTGCACGTGCCAGAGTGTCCGAGGTGTCTGATGGGCCAATGAGGAGCTGTGTAATGGGGGAACATCATCCGGAGTGGCCGAGGCGGGAGTTGGCCCACGTGAGTGTGTTGTGCCCAGTTTTCTTTTGGCTGCTTAATGAGGTAATGATGTATGCTTGAGGTGTGTTTCCGGTGGGTGGATGGAGTCTGGTACGAGACATGTGAAAATAGGATTCTTTTCAAGTCAGTCATTTTCATTGAATTGAATACATACTCATTATCTATACGGAGTGTTTGTATATTCTAGAGACAAATGGGATTCTGTTGTTGATCATCATCGGACTTATCTTTTGTGCTGTGATTTAGTTACTCCGAGGGATTAAAAATATATTGCACTTCACGGTGAGTGTATATTGTGGGACATACTACTTTTTTGTCAACTCCGTTAGAACTAAACCAAACTAGACTATATCTTTCTTCTTGTCCGAAGGGGGGAGGAAGAGGGCGGATCCACTCCACTCCCCTTCTTTGTGCCGGGGCCCCGTATTATCTATCAGATGGTTACTTCGTGTCCTATGGATATCCCTAGGTAAAACCATTCTGGAGTGATCATCATCATCATCACCATCCATTCATTCTTTGGCTTGTGGAGTGGCGGGGAAAGCTCCGTAGTCTTTGGTTTGGTTTGGTTCGGGTACTGCTGAGCTACTACTGACTGATTTCTTTGCTTTTCGGTCTGAGAAGCTTATATATTATTCTATCGGTTACTTTGGGTTCCCCTTTTCTTTTTCCTCTCTTTTTCTTCTCTCTTTCCTCACAACTTATTTATTGCTGCTTCTGGGTTCGCCGGTTTTGTCCGTCCTTACTAGTCATCCCCGTACCCTACTACTCCTACTACCTTCCCCCATCCCGCATCCGGCTCTATACCCACTCTCTCCTCTATCTACAACCTATCATGGCCAAGACTTTCACAAAAGGCGACGTAGCGTCGCACAACAAGGCAGATAACCTCTGGGTGGTTATCGATGAGGATGTTTACGATTTGACCAAGTTTCAAGATGAACATCCAGGTGCGTGCTTGAATCCGGCGGAAGACGTTTTGGAGATCAATCACATGCTGACATCAATTTGCGACAATTAGGCGGAAAGAAGAGTATGCAATAAACCCCCTATGTCTATAGCGGAATCCCGCATCTAACCAATCGTTCCTCCCATCTAGTTCTTCAACGTGTCGCCGGAAAAGATGCCTCGAAGCAGTTCTGGAAATACCACAACGAGGGAATTCTGAAGAAGTACAAGGGAAACTTGCAGATCGGTTCCCTAGACTCCAAGAAAGCCGCGGCTCCCGAACCACCTGCTTCTGCTCCCACAACACAGCCTTCCAAGCCTCTGGCGGCACCAGTTGATGTTGCCTCGGCGAAGTCGTCCGAGACTCAGGATCCGTTCGGTGAACTGATTCCTTTTGCGGACCCGGCATGGTACCAAGGTGTAAGTCTTCTGTCTTGCCATTGCTAAATTTGCAAGCGGAGGTGTGGAAGAGGACACTAGGCTGACATTGATTACGACTATTAGTACCACTCACCCTACTTTAACCAGACTCACTCGGCGCTCCGCGAGGAGATCCGCCAGTGGGTGGACTCTGAGATCGAGCCGTATGTGACCGAATGGGACGAGGCAAAGAAGGTGCCCGATCATATCTATAAGCAGATGGGCGAAAGGGGATACCTGGCCGGTCTCCTGGGTATGAAGAAGTACCCTGTCGACTATACTCCGCACCGGGTTCAGTCCGTCGCGCCAGAGAACTGGGACTTGTTCCATGAGATGCTCCTCACCGATGAGTTGTCGCGGGTCGGCAGCGGTGGCCTGGTATGGAACCTGATCGGCGGTTTTGGCATTGGTTGCCCGCCGCTGGTGAAGTTCGGGAAGAAGCCCCTTGTCGACAGGATTCTGCCCGGTATCTTGGCTGGAGACAAGCGTATTTGTCTGGCCATCACCGAGCCGGATGCGGGTAGTGATGTTGCAAACCTGACCTGCGAGGCTAAACTATCGCCCGACGGCAAGCATTACATTGTTAACGGCGAGAAGAAGTGGATCACCAACGGTGTCTGGTCGGATTACTTCACCACTGCAGTGCGCACTGGTGATGCCGGTATGAACGGCGTCAGTGTACTCCTCATTGAGAGGGACATGGGCGGTGTTAGCACCAGGCGCATGGATTGCCAGGGTGTCTGGAGCAGTGGTACCACCTATATCACCTTTGAGGATGTCAAGGTCCCAGTTGAGAACCTCATCGGCAAGGAGAACCAGGGTTTCAAGGGTGAGCAGCCTAGGAAAATGATGTCTATTTCGCAAAGCACTAATCATTTCTGCAGTCATCATGACCAACTTCAATCACGAGCGTATCGGCATTGTGATCCAGTGTGTTAGGTTCGCCCGTGTGTGTTATGAAGAGTCGATGAAGTATGCCCACAAGCGCCGCACCTTCGGCAAGAGGCTCATTGACCATCCCGTGATTCGGATGAAGTTGGCACACATGGCCCGTCAGATCGAGGCAACATACAACTGGCTGGAGAACATTATCTACCAGTGCCAGTCGATGGACGAGACGGAAGCCATGCTCAAGCTGGGTGGCGCCATTGCTGGTCTGAAGGCACAATCCACCACCACTTTTGAGTTCTGCGCCCGTGAGGCCAGTCAGATCTTTGGCGGTCTCAGTTATAGCCGCGGTGGTCAAGGTGGTAAGATCGAGAGGTTGTACCGTGATGTTCGAGCCTACGCGATCCCAGGTGGAAGCGAGGAAATCATGCTGGATCTCAGCATGCGTCAGAGCTTGCGTGTGCACCAAATGTTTGGGCTGAAGCTCTGAGAGCTGCTATCTTCCTGCATTTTTGAGAGTACATAGATCACTATAGTAGTCGCTTTTTATGGCCATTTTTGCGGGTTGGACGAGAAATTGTATCTCCCACATGGTGTATTTTTATGAACAAAGTTGAATTAACTTGGTAAAATAAGCTCCACCTTTCCGAAAATCCGACTGTGTTAGTATCAATATAGATGTTTGCTTAAATGAATGAAAACATTCAAAACGATTCATTAATGGAACAAACAACCTCAAAAAGAAGCAAGAGCGATGCCGCCGGGCGCATTCCGGCCGGGCAGGAGGACCAGCAATGCAACACGCCCGCCCGATGGAAGCCATCGATCTTGAACTCCGGCCACCACTTCTCCCCCAAATCAGCTTTTTCATCCCAGCAGCCACTTCTCTTTCTCTCCAGGCCAATTTACCGGCTGTTATGTGCTAGCAGCCTGTCTTGGCATATTGTGGGAAGAACCCGCCTCTCTTTCACCTCGCTCTCACTCTGCCCCGTTGGAGACTACAACACTACCTATCCTGTCGCGGTCGCGGACTCGGACTCCCCGAACGAACGGAACTCTCCGCCCCAAACAGCTCCTGAAACCTTACACCTGGTTGCTTCTGCTCTTTAGTCGGACTGCCATTTGTCGTCTTGGATTCGCCCTCTCCAGTCTTTCATTTTTCGGGTAATTCGTTGCCTCTCTTACAGATCTGTGAGCTAGTATTCGCCACAGCTTCCTTCACGGTGCCGGGTTCGATATCTGTTGAACTCCTCTGAGCCCTCAGAATCGAGTTGATATAGTTCGATATCGCTTGACGTACGACAAATAACACTATCCAACGCTTCGTCTTTTCTTCATCTGTGCTTTCTTTGCAAAGCCACCATCGACCCCCCTGCGCCTTGAAACATGTCTCGAAACGTGCTAGACCAAGACTTCGGGTCTGAAGAGGAGGACGATGACTTCAACCCCGCTCCTGCGGATGACTCTGGGGACGAGGATACTAAGGTTTGTTGTATGATTGGGTGGCAAAGTGAACCATTTCACTGATACACGATTGAAGCAGGCTGCGCGTCGCGCTCCGGACGATGAAGACGATGACGATGACGAGGAGGAAGTGAACACTGGACGGAGTGGAAGGCAACGTGCTGGTAGTGAAGATAATGCCGGAAGGGGCGCCGATGACGATGAGGAGGGCGAGAATGACGACGAAGAGGAGGAAGGGGAAGAAGAGGATGAAGACGAAGAGGAAGAGGAGGAGGATGATGACGAGGATGCCAATGCTGTGAGTATAGGTTCTGGTCCTAAGTTTGGAAAGGTCACCGGCTGATCATGGTTTCGTTTGTAGGGACGCCCACGGAAGCGCAGACGCAAAGCCGGTGTGCACTCGTTCTTCGAAGAAGAAGCCGGTGTCGATGAGGATGAGGATGAGGCTGAGGATGACGAGGACGAACTAGCGGAATTCGGTGGAGAGATGCACCCGGATGATATGGACGCCCTGCCTGTTGGTGCTGAAACGGACGACCGCCGACACAGACAGCTTGATCGTCAGCGTGAACTGGCAGCTAGCATGGATGCGGAGAAGCAGGCTCAGATGCTTAAGGAGCGCTATGGACGGAACCGCGCCGCGGCTACTGACGCAGTGGTTGTTCCCAAGCGACTGCTTCTTCCCAGTGTGGACGACCCTAGCATCTGGGGTGTTCGCTGCAAGGCCGGTAAGGAACGTGAAGTCGTGTTCTCAATCCAGAAGCGCATTGAAGAGCGGCCTCCGGGATCTCGAAACCCCATCAAGATCATGTCGGCTTTCGAACGTGGAGGTGCTATGGCCGGTTATATCTATGTTGAGGCGCGCAGGCAGGCCGATGTCATGGATGCACTACAGGACATGACCAATGTGTATCCGAGGACGAAGATGATCCTGGTCCCAGTGAGAGAGATGCCCGACCTCCTTCGAGTACAGAAGTCCGAAGAGCTCATGCCTGGTGGCTGGGTTCGTATCAAGCGTGGTAAATACCAGGGCGATCTGGCGCAGATCGAGGAAGTCGAAACGAACGGCTTGGCAGTGACTGTGAGACTGATTCCGCGGTTGGATTACGGCATGAACGAGGATATCGGTGCCCCTATTGCCGACCCGAAGAGGAAGCGCCCTGGCATGAACCCAGCAGTGGCACGGCCTCCCCAGCGTGCGTTCAGTGAAGCTGAAGCCAAGAAAAAGCATGCAAAGTATTTGTCTGCCACGTCTGGTTTGGGTGGAAAGTCATGGAACTATCTCGGAGAAACATATGTGGATGGCTTCTTGATCAAGGACTTGAAGGTTCAACATCTTATCACAAAGAATGTCAACCCTCGACTCGAGGAAGTCACCATGTTTGCTCGCGGCTCCGAGGATGGCACCTCGAACTTGGATCTGGCTTCCTTGGCCGAGACGCTCAAGAACTCCGCTGCTGAAGACTCCTACCTTCCCGGCGACCCGGTGGAAGTGTTCCGAGGTGAACAACAGGGCTTGATCGGTCGCACAAGTTCTACTCGAGGAGACATCGTGACTCTGCTAGTTACGGAGGGCGATCTGGCTGGGCAGACAATCGATGCGCCTGTCAAGTCCCTTCGCAAGCGTTTCAGAGAGGGTGACCATGTTAAGGTTATCGGTGGCAGCAGATACCAGGATGAGCTGGGTATGGTTGTACAGGTCAAGGACGACACAGTGACATTACTTAGCGACATGAGCATGCAGGAAATCACAGTCTTCAGCAAAGATCTCCGACTATCCGCTGAGACTGGTGTTGATGGAAAACTGGGCATGTTCGACGTTCACGACTTGGTGCAATTAGAGTAAGTTCCCTTCCCCCGCTGCCATGGACACCAATTTCTAACTCATGCAGTGCTGCCACCGTTGCTTGTATCGTCAAGGTTGACAGAGAGTCGCTGCGGGTGCTGGACCAGAACGGCTCTATCCGGACGATTCTTCCCACACAAGTTGCGAACAAGATCACTCCTCGCAAAGACGCTGTGGCTACGGATCGCAATGGCGCAGAGATCCGCCATGGAGATACGGTTCGAGAGGTCTACGGCGAACAGAGAAACGGCGTGATTCTCCACATTCACCGTTCTTTCCTGTTCTTGCATAACAAAGCGCAAGCCGAGAACTCTGGTATCGTGGTTGTCCGCACCACCAATGTAGTTACCGTCTCGGCCAAGGGCGGCAGATCTACCGGACCTGATCTCACGAAGATGAACCCGGCTTTGATGAGGAACGGTATGCCTGGTGGTATGATGGGTCCTCCCCAAAAGAGCTTTGGGCGTGACAGAATGATCGGTAAGACGGTCATGGTTCGCAAAGGACCTTTCAAGGGTCTTGTTGGTATCGTCAAGGACTCCACAGATGTGCAGGCTCGTGTGGAGCTGCATTCTAAGAATAAGTTGATATCCATTCCCAAGGACATCCTTGTCGTCAAGGATCCTGTCACAGGACAGACGATAGACATGGGCCGTGGCCGCGGAGGACCGCGCGTGCCGCATGGAGGATCTGGAGGACCTCCCTCTGCCTGGCAAGGCGGTCGTACCCCGATGGGGGCTGGAGATTCGTCCCGGACACCAGCCTGGGGCGGTCCCTCGTCGTCGAGAAGTGAGCATCTCTTTCTATACCAGTACACAGTTTCATCGTGCTAACCTCATCTTCAGCACCCGCTTGGGCCGGCGTGGGCGGTTCCCGCACCCCAGCCTGGAAGCAAGACGGCTCCCGAACCTCCAACCCCTACGATGGCAGTCAAACCGCCTACGGAGGCTTTGGCTCGCGTACGCCCGCCTGGAACGCTGGAGCTCGCACTCCCTACGTTGGCTCCGGCAACAGTGACTTCGATGCTTTCGCCGCTGGCTCCCGAACCCCCGCTTGGGGCTCCTCCAACGCCGGTAACCGCACTCCTGCCTGGGGCGGAGCCACCGCCAGCAACGGCACCAAAGACCGTGGCTACGATGCCCCAACCCCTGGAGGCTACTCTGCTCCTACCCCCGGTGCCTACGGAAGCGCACCTACCCCTGGTGTTTCCGCACCCACGCCCGGTGCTTGGGCAGATAGTGCCCCGACCCCGGGTGCCTTCAACGCGCCCACCCCCGGCGACAAGAGAGCCTACGACGCACCTACGCCAGCAGCTTTCGATAACGCTGGCGGTAGTCGTCCATATGATGCTCCCACACCAGCTCTGGGCGGCTCTGCCGCGACCCCAGGCGCAGGTGCATACGGAGATGGTGACGATGGTGGACCGCGGTATGAAGAGGGGACACCTAGTCCTTGAGGACAGGAGCAAAGATTTTGAAATGAATATGTGAAAATAGATAAAATGCGGGCGTATCAATTTTCTCTTCTTCTCTGTTTTGTGCTTCTTACGTTCTAATCACATCATATCATTTCATATCATATCATCCGGGTGCGAGAAGCATGGTTGTTTCGTTGGACAGGTTTTTTATCTTTTTATCACTAACTGTATTATGTGTATCATCTACTTATCACCACAATTCATCAATTACATTTTCCATCTCATCTACATTAACAAACTTAGTGAGACCCCCACGTGACAAACATCCTTAGAGAGTGAAGTAAGAAAAATAAATCTACGTCACAGAATTAAAGAAAAAAAGAATGAAAAAAATATCACATGAACGTATCCTTTCCGCTTGCTTGCTTGCTTGCATTCATTCCTTCTTGCCTTGCTTTTGAGACTTCAAAATGAAAATAAAAATACATAGTAAAACACGGCGAAGAAAAAAAAAAAGATAAATGGAGAGGAATTGCAGAAACAACTTAACGCAATCCTCTAGAGATCTAATCAATGAACAAAATCACAAACAAACATAAGCATCTCATCAACCATAGAATAGTTAAATAGTTGTTGTTGTTGCATGCGATCCCGTTGTCAAATTTTGTGTATCCGTGTTATGTGCGAGAAGATAAATGAGTTTCTTCATAAGATGGAATAAGAAAAAAGTGCATAGAGATAAATGAAGGTAAAACTATGGCGG